TCTCTTACATCTTTGCAAGTGCTATTTACATACGTCAAATGCAACTAATAATCTGAATTGGTGCGCTGTGTAAGAAATGGCTTTATTTATTTAAAGTTACATTTTAAAAGCAAGTTATATTATCATGTGATATCATTTAAATAAGTGATATGATTTTGAATTGCACTATATCGCTTTTCTCTTGCAAATTTCTATTTAAAGTAAAGAAATTAATAAGTTGATTTTTTAAAATAAAAAACATACATTAAAAATCTTAGGCTGGGTTTCACCTTTCGATAAATTTTGACTTACTCTTTCGCTTTTGCCCTTGTCTTCAATTTCGTCCACTCTTTCTTTTGTTCGTTAGATAAATTATCACATAATTTATGTGAAGCTGGAACAACCAGTCCTATATAGATATTTCAGATTCAAATTATAACAATTAGAAAAGTTTATTTTATAAATTACAAATTTTCGTCAGGATACTTTTTTATATGAATTTACTGTCCCTTGTTGTACTTGATTGCATCTGACGTTCACATAATTATAAAACTGCATTTTCCTTTATAGTTCATATTTTATCAAAAAAATGCATTATATTTCGATCGTTTTTTAAACTGTTCTCTTAAATAATGTCGATAAAACAGAAAGTTTCATTGACGAGTTATCAAAAATATTGGGTTAAGTAATTATCGCAAATAACTGATCGCGAATATTTTTGATAACAATAATTATTAAAAATCAATATCAAATATCGTCATTATTAAATATTAATATTAAAAACGATGCAATTTCCATTTGTTAAATCGAGGAAATGCAAAGAACTACTAAGTAGATCGATCGCACAACTTACAAATTAAATGGAGAATGTGCAATTCTATCACGAATTTACGGTTTTTGTCATTCGAAAAAAATATTTTGTTTACCGAGATTGTTAATGCGGGTTGGAAAGTTCAGGATCTGATTTATGATTCTGTTGATCGCATTCGATGTAATTTGTTTAAATATCGATAAAGTTATTTACATTATCGTGTGTACATTTAGATTCCGGCCTTTTGCTTTCTTTCGTTCCGATATTTCGATATAGGAACGCGAGCCGTCTCGTATTGGATCGTTTGAAAAACCCATTAGCCAAACGCAAGTGGCATCCACTTTCGATCAAAGAAGAATGTTTGACAGGTGTAAAGAAAAATTTGGGGAAAATAAACTGCTCTTGCTTTTCTGAAGTAAAAAATTATTTTCCCTTTCGTGTATGAGACGCCGAATGTATCATTCGTTCATTGATGATCGGAAATTGATGA